CAGAGCACGCTCAGTACAGTATGGGGCAGAGCGTCACAGAGCACGCTCAGTACAGTATGGGGCAGAGCGTCACAGAGCACGCTCAGTACAGTATGGGGCGGAGCGTCACAGAGCACGCTCAGTACAGTAGGGGGCAGAGAAACAGAGCAAGAGGCACAGATAACAGCAAAAAAAAAAACATCCTAAGTAGCACAAAAGAAAGCATGCCAGAGATCTGAAACATAAATAATTAAATCCTGTGTAAATCTGGAAGGAGCTTCCGCATCAAAGCTAGATCAGCACTCTGTATGTGCCAGAATCAGCATCTCTACCAGAGCGTCCAGGGTGGCTGCTGCAGGGGAAAAGATGCCAGACTAGACACGTTCACCGGAATGGAGATGACTGCCCACGGAAGGGATTGCCTTTGCAGAGATCGACGAATCATATGCCTGAAGGAGTATAACGAAACACAAGAGGCACCTCAGTCATGCCTCTAATATGGGCACATAAGGTCACAACACATAGGTGAGAAACTTATACATTCCGTGTGCACTGTATATATGCACTACATGTAGTTTTTGGTCTGGAAGATGTAAACATCATTTTGTGTGCATATGGTAAACTTAAATTGAACTTGAAATGTGAGATGGCTACAAAAACAAGTCTGAAAAGACAACACACAAAACTCCAAAGACTTAATAATAACAGAAATATAACGAATAAACATTAACATAAGATTGTCAATCTAGTTCAATGTTATTTGTATAGCTCATTTTCACAACACTTCATTGTCTCAAAGCACTTTACATTATCCCTGCCAAAAAACCCCCAGTGAGCAAGCCAGAGGTGACAGTGGCAAGGAAAAAACTCCCTGGAAGGAAGAAACCTTGGGAGGAACCAGACCCAAAGGGGGAGCCCATCCTGCAGGGGGCAGCAGAGGAAGTCAAAACAACAAAATAATAAATGTTTTTTTTCTTTTAGAACAGGGGCAGACAGTCAGAGGCAGTTCTTGCTGGTCATGTGTATGTGTAGCCAGCGGAGCACCTTACCCGTCACGGCCCAGAAGGAAGAGTGCAGGGATGCTCGGCAGATCCGCAGTGCCGTCGGTGATCATGTCCAAGTGCTGGCTGTCGTTGTCAGAGGCGCTGTCAGCAATCAGCACGGCCCGTCCGCCGGCCTCCTCCACAGCCCGCGCCTTCTGGACAAAGGAGCACCCTCTGTGTGCATGGATACACACGCAGTGTCACACTGCATGGATACACACACGCGGTGTCACACTGCATGGATACACACACACGGTGTCACACTGCATGGATACACACACACACACGGTGTCACACTGCATGGATATACACACACACACACGGTGTCACACTGCATGGATACACACACACACACACGGTGTCACACTGCATGGATACACACACACACAGTGTCACACTGCATGGATACACACACACACAGTGTCACACTGCCTGGCCATGTTGCTACTGCCTGCACAACCGCACAGTTCCAATCCAGCTTCTGCACTGGGGATTATTTATTAAGGCACATTAACATAAGCACAATACTTTTAACAAAACTTGCAAACATTTTATCCAAACGATGAACATTGTATATGCTGTTTTTACTATATAATATTTCACTTAAGCAATTCACCTGAAGCAGTAGTAGGAAGCATCTTACGACTAAGTGGTAACTTTTGGGACACAAGGCCAGGTTCATCAGTGCTATGCTACATACTTGTCCCAAGGCATTTCTGCCTAAGTGAACATGTCAGAAACCTTACAGTAAAACAGATTAGTTCAAAAGCAAACATGAACCCATGCTTTGGTTTGATTCATCTCCCTGCCCCAAATATATGGACCGTAACCCATAAGGCACAGGTCTCGTACCCTCTCTGCAGGAGGACAACTTGGCCCTCTATAATTTCTTTGTTCCTTAACTCTGAACAGCCATCCGAGGGTTCAGCAGGAACCAGGTAGATCTCATCATATGAAGAGGTCTGTCAGAGAGAGGTGGAGTGGAGTATAAGTTTATTCAAAGATGCATCGATGTCAGTTTACCAGGCTTGAAACATAATGCAAACTCACAAAGTCGCCACCGAAGTCCCGGGCAGGGGCTGCGCTGAATATGTACCCAATATCTTCAGGCCTGAGGATGCGGAAATACAGCAGCTCATTTACTCCGAGTCCTAGCGAAAGCAAAGGGAACATCTCACACAAACAGCCGAAACACAGCCATAACCCCGCCGTGACAAGGAGGGAGCTGCCCTGTTCATGCAAAAGACACTAAACGAATATGACCGTGTAAAGTCCTTTTTATCATTCGCAGTCCAACTCGAAATACATGTCTCCATTTGATTTTTAAAAACATTTTAAAGGACAGGCTGTCAGCTAACACACTAAAAGCTGGGATAATGCAAACCACAGAAGCACAGCAGGGGGTTGTAGCCAATAGATCAGAAAATCAAAAATTATTTCCATAAGAAACGCAAGAGCGACCTTACTGGGGAGCAGAATTCTTGCGTATGGACTAATGGAGAATTCAGACCAATACCTGGATTTCAAAGTTACATTTTCACGCAGAGACTATAGATAAGTTACCGCCAGTTTACATGAGAAACGGACAGCTGTCTTCACCGGTTCGTATGCTATATAACTAGGTATAAAGGTATCTTTTGGCGTTTACTTACCTAACGTAAAATGCAGCTGTGACAATATCACCCCAGCTACAAGAAGCGGGGCTACACCGTACGGATCTGTCATGATTCTGTTGAAGGTGTCCGATTCTTAGACTGGAAGCCGATTCCTACCCGATCCGCACATACCTCCGCGGACACAAATAAATATATAAATGATCTAGAACCAGCCAGACAAAAAACAAAATTGCAATAACACAACTAGTATACAACAATTTCAGAATTGATCGGAACCATTTTTTTTCCTTTTAATTCATTCTTTTCTTCGTATTTAATAAATAAATTGAAGCATCGAAATTAAAATATATCGCCACCTAACGTACAGGCGGCCTCATGAGACGTATGTAATAGCCAGAGGAGAGGTGCAGATCTCAGACCTCACTGCGAGTGCGTTTCAAATCGAATTGATTTGCCTTATTTGTCAAATTACTTGGTATGTAGCTACTTTGTCGAGTTAGGCTACCGTACGTAGTGCTAATCGATAGCCCTAAACCTAACCCCCCGAAAACCCCTAAAACCCTTACCTTAACCCTAGCCACTTAAACCTAACCCTAATTCCAAGACGGTGGAACTGCACATGCGCAGAAAGGCTCGCTAGCACGTCTCGATAGGTAGCTCAACTCGTCAGAACACCGGCTCCTGGGGGATGGATTTCTCCTTTGAGTGTAGTTCCTCCCAATGTTTCTTCCTTCTAGGGAGTTTTTCCTTGCCATTGTCACAAATGGCTTGCTTACTGGGGGATTTGGGCAGGGATAATGTAAAGTGCTTTGAGGCAATGTAATGTTGTGAAAACACTATACAAAATAAAAATGACTGATTGATTTGTTGATTGATTGATATACAGGTGAGTAAATATCTTACGTAAAAAACCCACAATCGCAGCAACAAAAATACTGCAAATGATTTGAACAGTCCAAATCGGGACTATACAAAAAAAACAATTAATTTGCCAAACCTTTTAAGTCCTTGGAGGTAGAAAAGATACTGGTGTGCCTTTCTTCACTGGTTTCCTGCCATCAGCTCCTTGAGTGACTTTACCATTCGGCCCCTGAGTACAGCCCTTAACTTCCAATTGCTCTATGGATCGTCTGACCCTGCTTTCTCAAAAGTGTATGTTGCCTGTGATGAAAGTGGCTGCTAAACAAACTAAATGTCATTTCAGTTTTACATTTTTTACATGACTACCTTTTCGTCCAGAGTGTCGCCCTTCTATCAGAATCCAAAATGTTTCCAAGCATTTTACCTGGTGTGAGGAGCATTGTATAATTTTTCTCTCACTGTTAGGAGCCACTGAAGAGTTATCACTGGCATTACCAACAGTCAGTTGACCATGCATTTGTGTCCACGGACAAAGCATGTAACTTTATAACCAAAACACAGGCCTCTCTGCTCTGTCTAGGAGAGGACCTTCACACTGGAAGTTGATTGAGGATGTGTAGGCTAATTGAGAAACTTATAATTAAGGAAAGGCTATTTTGACAACAGAGGTCCACAGTTTTTAAAAAACCATATTCTAATAGATTAATAACCGGTTATAACATTCCAGAATCAATGTAGCTGGATTGCCACTTTCAGACTGTTGCATGACAAAGTATTGATGCACTTTTACAGGCCTAGTAATAGGGAATCAAAAGAAAAAAGAGACACATAGAACATTTTAATATAGTGAATGTTTGCTCAAAGGTGTGGATGTTAGAACAACATTAGTAAGCACAGTATTCATCTTTGCAGGGTATTTTTATTAACCAACACGGGGAGTTCTGACACGGCTTTATAATAACTTTCAATTGTTGTCCTTAAAACTGAGTACTGTGAAAGCACCACTAGCAGGGCACCTTGCCCTTCTAAATGACATCACCCTATATGGTGGCCACCCTGACACACATAAATAAAACAGCTAAAATGTACAGTACAACTACATTCAACAACACACGTGAACAGTCATCAATAAGATGAACACTACAATAACGATCATAAATGCACATAATCAAAAAAACAGAACCAGTCACAGTCCGGATCTTTCCGAGGAAGTGTTGTGAGTATGCACGTATGCACTCACAACTTCAGCATTTCCTACAACAATAATAATTAAAAAGTAATTAAAAACTAAACTATGTACCTGCTGTGTTTCTATGCAAAATAATAGCATATACAGTATATTATTAATTAAAAACCCTCTTCACTTCAGCATCTCTAACCTAAGATTTTATATAAAAGGGTGACAAAAATGCTAATTCCAAAGAGCAACACCATTATCAGCGCCATGTGAGCATGGAACTGAAGTGAACATCTAAAGGACATCACCAGTCTAACGGACATCACCAGGTATTCTGTGTACAGAAATCACTATATCATTCGATGGAGAAACAAGTGCTACTTTTACAAGTGTCTTTACAGAGACATTAACTCTGTAGTTTGAAATTCATAGCTTTGTTTTACTACACTTGTGTCATTTTCAAGTAGAAAGTTCTGAAGTCTTATATTCACATCAAAACAATCGCTTCAATGATCATAGAGGATGGCGATCATAGAGGATGTTTTTGACTCATTACCAACTTGCTGTTTTATGTCAGCATTTAGCTTTTACCACGTGGGGTTTAAGAAGCATAATTCCACCAGTCTGGCCCTCGTGTGCCTTTCAGTTGTGGTCTGAATTGTTCTTCCACTGCTTTTTCTTACTCTGCTTTTCCCTTCTTTTTTTCTTTTCTGCAGTAGAGGATATTATTTTTTTCTGAGGTCCTAACAAGTCGTTTCATCTCTTTCTTCCTATCACTCATTTTCCTCTTCATCCGCATCTGCATTTGGAGAATGAAACAGAGGTAATTGCTTTAAAATTTTAATATTTTGTGCTTCCTTCGTTTCCTGTGATTTTTGGAAGTTTTTTTTTGTACCACATCATACATTTAATTAAAATACAATATCTCTGCTGCAGGATTGTGCACTCAGACCACAGCAGTGTGGTTTCAGTATACATTTATATGTCTCCTCTTTGGCACTCTTCATTTTAGAGGAAATGAAAAGCAAGACAGCATGTGCTACTCTTCTGAGGCCATGAGTGACAGCACACAAATAGATTCTGCACGAACAAACGCTGTATGTGGCCGTGTGCTGCATAGCTAAGCTCACCAAGGACCTGGAGCAAGACATTTTCAAGGCCTAAAGTGGTTAATGATTGTAACGTATTTTCCCTAAATTCACAATGTTAAGATGTTAACATATATATTTCTATCGTGCATATAATTTCAGGCTAAATGGGGAAGCTAGTAATTCAGTAATAATTCATGCTGATATATTTATATATTGTGATTTTATATTACTATTGATTTTTTTTTATTGTATACACAAAACTCAATGTAAAAGTGAGGATTTATGCAAAGCAACAATTAAAAGGAAATAAAAGGGCAAAGTTTGAAGGCGAGACAGAGAGGCTTTTTAATAGCATGCAGTGAAAAATAAACCACAACCAAGTGCAGCACAAACATATTGTCACAAAGATGGTCAGATGACTTCCAGTTCCTCGAGCTGGTTATCATGTTGTCAGCTTGAAATAGGTTTGTGACAGAAACATACAAGTGCAACCACAAAGAGAGCTTTGAAAGGGATGCCTCACAAGCATTTTCAACAAGTCAGCTCTAAGGCCAAAGAAAAGGACCAGCTCTCCTGAAATTATTACAGCCACATTTGAGAAGTCAACTTACTTATGTCATTAAAATTGACAGAAACTTGACTGAAAAATAAATAGAAAAAAATACATGAATTTGAACTTTTGGACTGGTTAGATGCTAAACTCTCTCATTCTGAGAGCCAACTGCAAACACTGCAGAGATTTAATACAAAGAGAGCACAGCTTAATCATATACTTCATCACAGAGAAAAGCTAGATGCGTGGTATAATTCTGCTTTACCATATTTTTCGAGTTATCCTCCTCATACCATTATACAATGATTTCCCTACACTATAGCTTATTATCCTTAATAAATAATAAACATAGGTTAAATAAATTCATAATTTAACTCTTTCAGATAAAAAGGTACATAAGTAACACTGTCAATAAATTACGATATAGAGTTTAAATGGGAGTAGTCAGTATTATAGCACCGTCTTATAGCAAATGATGTTTGGAGTTTGAGATGGATTTACAGGTATGGACAGAGCTAATCTGCTCTGAGGAGAATAAAAAGACAGATGAAAAGGCAAAGTAAGGGTTCAGAAATCGAATCCCAAGCACCCCTCTGAGCTGGGGATTGGGTGGGGCAGGCTGGCAACAGTGCTTAGGGACAGGAGAGTAATCAGTCGGTTACGTTTTTCCATGGACTCCACTGGCTCCAGGGCGAGGGCACAAAGGGCTCCCTGGAGCGAGCACGTATATTGCTAATATCTCCAGGAACCGTGGTGCTGTTGGACAGGCCCGTCTGCAAAGTAAAGAGAAGCACCATTAACCAGGCCGGTCACTTGCTTTTTGTGGCCCCTTGGCAATACACAGGATGCTTCTTCTTAAATGGCGTTCATCAAATGACATTGCTAATGTTTAAATACAAAAAAAATTAAGAGACCACTCTGTATTTTTTTTTTTTAAATCTGCATTTTTAAATCCTGGTTTAATCCTGGTTCTGCTGGCATGAGGCTACACTGAGCGGCAGGCTGCTTGCGGGCTCAAAGTCAGCAGTACACAAGCACAAGGTGAAGCAGGAGACACTGGCAATAACCAAAAACCAGCCAGGTAGAGGGCAGAAGCGACCCATCGACCGTCAAATTATTCCAACAGTTTCTTATGAATCAGAAGATGACATCAAGCAACCTTCAAATGAATGGGAAATATTAAGTGCGGAGTACGGCCAACTAATGGTGCCCATATACAGGTGCATTAAATGAGGCAAAAAATAACTTAAATATATACGTCTCAATTTGTAATAATTTCCACATTTCTGTCTTTTCATTTGCCTTTGTAATAATTTTTTGACTTTATAGACAGCCTGTATATATATATTATTCACAGACTCACACCCATATATTGAGAAATGAGTGAAAGTGAAAAGTGTGCTGTGGTCTCTTAACTTTTTCCAGAGCTGTATCTGCTGCGATCACTATCAGCATGTTATTGTAACACAGTTTCAGCATCGGCCTGTTGACGGCAGCGGCTTGCTCAGTTCATGCTGCCGATCTCCTCACCGTGCCGTCGTTCTGGTATATGAACTCAATCTGGTGATCCAGCTGGAAGTAGCTGAGGGGCTTTGCCCAGCTGGCTGCGGGCTGCACAGTCACGCTGAGCAAATTCCCCTGCTTCTTGCACAGCCCCAGCTGGGGTGGGTCCGGCTTAACTGGGGCGTGAAACAGAATTTAGTTTCTCTGACAAATCATAGTTTCAGCAGTATGTGAGAAAATACATTCAGAATGACAAATAATGGAGACAAACTGGCAGTGGTAGAATTCAAATTCACTTTCCTATCAATACGTTCTTCTTTTAACAGCAACACTAGATTATTATATATAACTAGAGAACCTTGATTTAATTCTTCCCTGCTGATATATCAATGTATTTATTTGAGCATCTTTCTGTTGCCCCAGATAAACCTCTGGCCTCTTCCATACATCCCACCCCTGTCACATGGCTCTCTTCAATGAGTCGCCTTGGTTTTCACATCCTTAGCAAACCAGCATTCACATATTTATCTCTATTTAAGATATGCAGCGCTCACCAATGTCACGGAAGAAAAATTGCAGGGTCCTCTTCATGTAGTGCGTGGAGCTCACTGCTTCTCCAGTCAGGATCATAGGGGTGTCCTCTTCGGTGAAAGGGGAGCTGGTCAGTTGAAGAGTAAATACGGAGGCTTCCTGCTCTCCGTGGGCTTCGGAGTAAACCCAGGGGCTTGGATCTTGGCCATCACTGTAGAAGACAAACCTTTCTTTCATTTCAATTCATATTACCTTCACCTGTCTAAGTGTATGCCAGGTGACCAAGACGTAACCTCAGTGCAGAGGAGCCATGTGTCATGGCGCTTCTCTGTTAATCTGCAGAGTTCTTAGCAGTCATAGACTTGGTGTAGTTTAGGACCCTTGAGTGCATGTGAGTGTGTAGGCCTTTAGCGTTGTATGTCCTACCGTTGATATCTTAATCGGGCTGCGGTGTAGCCATTCAGAGACCAGCTGCAGGTGAAGAAACAGCTGTAAGTCTGAGCTGAGCAAACCAAGGCTTCTGTGAGGAGGAAGACAGAGACAGAATCATAAATGGAACGTCCTGGTATAGCCTACTAAAGCACGCTTTACACGTTTACACATGTTTTCTCTGCTTACCTTTAGTGTCCACCTCCTCCTCCTCCAGTAGGAGGTAGGTGCTGTTGAGTTTCCTTTCTCCATCCCAGCAGCTGTATTCACCAGCATCTGGCTCTTCCAGGTTCAGCAGCTCTAAGCTCTTCCCTTTGATGATTCTGATTTCCTCACCATCCCGGCTGTGCTTCCAGGTCACCTCGCCCGCCAAGTCAGTGCTGCAGGTGATGGTCACGCTGTTTTCTACCTTGCTCACCTCCACTGCAGAAAGACAGTTGTGCACACATACATCAGTGCTGTACCATGAAACCCACAATACAGAAATAAAACATTAAAACAATATACAAGAAAAATACAAGTAAACTGAAGAAAGGTAGATGTAGACTTGGAAACGGACAGATTTCCAAATTTTTCCTGAGCCAATCTCAATCACAAAATTATAAAAATCTATTTTAGAAGTATATCCAAAAGTAATGCATAATGAGTCACATTTCTTAAATTGTGTAAATGTCTGGTGCAAGTGTCCTTCAGGGCATTCACTTCCAAGTGTTACACAAAAAGCAGTCTAGTCATGTCTTTCATTCCCTAAAGGCAATTTCCTCAACATAATGTAGCTCTAACTAATAATATCCCTGATTTCATCCTTTAAAAAGACACATGCAGAATTAACCATAAAGAGTATAATGTGTATTTATTCTGTGACATTATGCTACAAGATAAACTTTAAGTATGAATAATATGTTCAGCATATTATTATATTATTTCAAATAGGACCCAAATATTTAAAATATTTTCCAATCTGGATTTGGTTTTATTTGCAGTAATTCATACTGTACATTAGGTGTGGTCCAAAAATCATTCGACTGTATGGGTTTATCTATAAAAGGATCTTTATTTTTAGGATCTTTATTTTAGATTCTCATTTCTTCTTTCTACACTTTCTTTGATCAGCCTCATATGGTACACAGCTTCTCCATCTTTGTTCAGTATTTTAATCCCGTATGTAAGGCACTTTAAAATGCATTTCATGTATGAAAAGTGCTATATAAACAGACAATAACAACATTAACTGATTGATTGATTATCAGAATTAATTGTTGTTCTTGTTGTTGTATTTTGATTACAGTCAATGCAATTAGATGCTTTCTTTGCATGTCTACTTCAAGTTAATGAATGAAGTTCATTCTGTTAAGTACAGTAGTTTCGTGAACAATTCACATGCTTTCTGCAGATATGAAGGCACAATGTAAAACCTTACTGTGCCTTGGGAAGGAACTGAGTCCCCACACCGAAGGCAGGGAGAGCAGGAGGAAATACCAGGATCCAGCTGGCATCTGGGAGGGGGACACACAGACCCAAAACACATCTCTGTACGTACAATGATTAACTCGGTGCCAAACGACTTCACCTTAAAACACAGAAACACAATCTGTGACTCAGACCCACACGACCCTGGCATGAAGGAAACTTTATACATTTTCAAAGAAAAACAGGAACTGAGCTGAAAAGGATGTAATTAGGTTACCTTTCAGAATAAAATCCACATGAACAATTAATCCACCTGTCCTATTATTTTTCCTTTAGGAATAAAACATGACACTTCTCAAAATATTATATCCTTGCGTTAAATAGGTTAATAAATACATCAATCGTCTAACTGATTATCACGGTCAGGGTAATAAATAGTTTTTAGACAGTGGCAGCAAACCCGCCTGACACGAAGAGAACATGCAAATTCCACACACAATGTGTTACACATTCACACACCAGAGTGATTACAATCGCCAAGACCACAAGGTGTGAGGCAACAGTGATACCAACTGAGTTCCCTCGCTTAAATACTATTAAATACTGCATATAAATGTATATAACACAGATAGATAGATAGATAGATACATGTAGATAGATAGATAGATAGATAGATAGATAGATAGCATTCATTACATTACATTATTGCAATATCTTAGTGAAAACATATAAACTTAATTTTAAATTTATATATAATACTACTACTACTGCTTCTGCTACTACTACTACTACTACTACTACTACTACTACTAATAATAATAATAATAATTATTATTATTATTAATAATTATAACACATATGACATTCAATGAAACATGATAAGAATATGATCATATCTACATGTTTAAAATAACCCACAACACATCACGAAATTCCACGTTTTCCAAGTTATCCTCCTCCCCTCTTTTCCACACTCCCAGTCCCCCTACCTTGTTACCTGAGCGGTTCTATCTTCCGTGGGCTTGTTTTGCGAAGGGGATTACAAGTACGTGCAGGCTAGCTTGTGTAACCCTAACACTTACCCATTTTTATAGAGCGAAACACCACCTACACGACCGGAGTTTCGAGCAAATACGGAAACATCGTCGGTGGATTCCTAGAACGCAAAAGCATAAGGGGAGAGTGTGCTTTGGTCATGATGTGGCGCCAGCGAAGAGACATCGCGGGTTTAATGCAACACGCTAATTCCGTGTAACCATTATGCTTGTAGTGATTTCCTGAGGGGTTTCTGGCAGTTCTGACCCCTTTTCCTTGAATTACTAATATATCTTATCTTTATGAACTTAAAGTGAGTATTGTAAATTGTATGCGTGATAATTTTCTTGACAGGAAAAAAACCGAACAAGTAAAATCTTGACTCCAAATAATTCTGCACCCGTTTAGATTATTTTACTGTTATTTATTGGCGTGTGCAGAATTATATCAGTAAAACCCATTTCAACAAGTCTTTCAAAATTCACGCATTCACTTTGTGGAATTGAACATGATTGATTTATTTCCGTTTACGACTTCGCTTGTACATCAGTTCATATCTTTAGCGTAGTTAGGTCAAATCACTCTGGGCTATATCCCCGAGTACTTTACCCCCTATGTCAGTCTTCCTTCAAACAAACAAACAAACAAACAAACAAATAAACAAAACGTTAAGCCCTGGGTAAACTTGACTTAGCCCCAGATTTGAATTTATTTCCCAATAGCTAGAAACTTCAAACTCCCCTGGTTCATTTCCTGGGACAATCTTAATTATACTGCTCAGTGAATTTCAGTGAACATATCTTCATTCATCCATAGATTCATCCATCCATCCATCCACTAATAATTGTATTCAGGACTGGTTCTATGGCAGATGAATGTTTAGTTTTATTTAGATTTGCTTTTGTTTAAGCCGGGGGTATTCGTGAGCTCTACGCTGACAAACAAGGAACAAAAAGCGAGAACTACAATAATTAAAGCACGGAGCAACATAGGGGCAATCACAGCAAACTACCATAGCTGCAAACATACAGTAACAACCACAATGACTGACGAAGGAAACCAGGCTATGACAGGTACTTGGATAACAAGGCTAACAAGGAGCAGGTGTGGGCTGTTACAAACAAAAGATGAGGACGAGGAGGAGCTGGTGGGGTCAATCAACAGATACAGAAAGGTTCAGACACCAAGGGAAACCAAAACAAGGAAAACTGAAATACTACAACCAGGGAGTAAAACAATCAACTGTACAGAAATATACCAAATAATGACTAACATAGTCATTTTCAAGACACCGAATGCACTTTACAGAACCAATGGGGAGCCACTTCAACCACCACCACTGTGTAGCCCCCACCTGGATGATCAAAGACAGCCATTCTGCACCAGTATGCTCACCACACAGTAGCTAAGGTGATGAAGGGCCAGGAGAGAATTCACCAGTTAGATATAGGGGGTGATTAGGAGGTCAGATCTGAAAGGGGCACAGTGGGCAGTTTTAGCCAGGACATGGGGGTACCACCCCTACTCTTTCGCAAGATGCCCAGGGATATTTTATGACCTCAGAGTGTCAGGACCTCAGCTTTATGTCTCATCCGAAGGATGGCACCATGTTTATAGCACAGTGTCCCTGTCACTGCACTGGAGCATTGGGATCCACACAGACCACAGAATGGGCTAAATTGTTAGTCACAGTGTCCCTGTCACTGCACTGGAGCATTGGGGTCCACGCAGACCACAGAATGGGCTAAATTGTTAGTCACAGTGTCTCTGTCACTGCACTGGAGCATTGGGATCCACACAGACCACAGAATGGGCTAAATTGTTAGTCACGATGTCCCAGTCGCTGCCCTGGGGCATTGGGATCCACACAGACCACAGAATGGGCTAAATTGTTAATCACAGTGTCCCCGTCACTGCACTGGAGCATTGGGATCCACAGGATAGGCTAACCTGTTGGCCACACCAACACCTCTTCCAGCAGCAACCCATATGGTCTCCCCTCTAAGTACAGGCCAGGCCCAAACCAGCTTCGCCTCAGGTGGAATATCTCATCTGAAGTGCAGGTAAGAACCACTCACTTAGGCCAATGAACCAGACAGCAGCCAAGAAAGCAGAACACACACACTAGGGACTATGAAGCACGTAAGACTCGGGGAACACACAGAAAGGGATGGCCAGTGGCTCCAGCTGGCCAAACAGGGAACCCAACCCAGCGAAGCTGGCAGGACAGGCTGATACTGACACTGTCATACATAGCTACCTACATTCACCAATCCATCTATCTATCTTTTAATCTGTTATACTGTACATGATCACAGAGATACACATTTTCAGTATTATTTAAAATAACTGTAGAAAGCCTGGAGGATCAGGCCAGAGACTGCAGCTGTGGTGAAGCAGAAGCTTCATAGATCGAGGCTTCTGGTTTTACTGCTCAGTCTACAGCCCCATTCTTACCTACAGTCATGACCTGAGCAGCTGGGGGCGGAGGACGGGTTGTCCTGCAAATTAATCATTGAATTGAATAAACCCATCAGCCCACTGGGAAAATTCCCATTCTGGGCACGTCCCACTGGATGGAGGCAGTAGGCAAATCCCAGGATATGATGCAGGGATTATATCTACCATGTGGTTTTGGGAAAGTCTGGGGATCTCCTGGAGGGGCACTGTGACCATGGATAGAGAGGTCTGGCCAGACCTGCTCAGAATGCTGCCTCTCAGCACGATATTATTTAAGATTTCAATTTACTAAATAATTAGAACAATTTTATTTTTTGACTTAAAACTTGACAAAACTTTTTCAGACATTATTCATTCAGTGGGTTTATTAAGTCAAATGAGAGATCATTAGGCAAATGACTCAGTTAAACTGTCATGCATTTAAGAATAGCTTTCTTGTTTCACAGAAAAAGTTTTTTTTAGCTGTTACATTACTATATAATCGTCATACTCTGATAAATATTAGTGATAGATTTTTTTTCTTTTAGCTTTTATATTGTATGCTTTATATGTTTTTATATTTTGATGTTTTTGGGCATCTAGATTTATGTCTAGAATTGAATCCTGCTGAATGAAACCTAGTCAGATGATGCTGCAGGTTGTTGTCAAAAGTGCAGCTGAACTGCTCACTAGACACAGAGCAGGGAAGGTAGGTTAATTGTATTATTTCCACAGTTTATTAAAGGACGTCACTGTTCATATTTTTCCAGTATGAGCCATATTTCTGAGTGCACTGCCTAAACTGACAATGAAACCATATCACCCCTAATGATTGGGGGGTTCTTGATTTTCACCGATGGGAGTTTTTCAAATTTCTATCCCAGATCCCAAGAACAGCAGACAGCAATTTTATTGAGAAAACCTGAACAAGAAACGAAACCAGCACACACTCAGCAAAACCACAGTTAGAGGAACACGGGGGTAGAGCTGGGGGTGAGCACAGAGAATGGACGGATATGGGGAAGAGCGATGGAGAAGAAAAATGTGAAGGAGATAAAGGACAGGTGACCAAATAGGTATGATGTGGAGCGAGTGGTGGAGTGGGTAATAGGGACAAGTTTGTTTCAGAAAGCAGAGACTGGTGAACGAGATGTTCACCGTGGGGGCAGGAAAGTACACAATGGGTTTTTAAAAGAAAACAATTTTCACCAACACCAGTGATGTCAGAGAGGATGTTGAGCACACAAATTTGTATAGAATTTGCCTGCCTTGCGGGTGAGAGATAGTGAGGGAAGTGAGAAAGGCAGAGGAAAAAGGAAACAGCCTTCTGTCGATGACGTGACATTAATGCTAACTCTCAATAATTCGCAGTAGAGGCTTTTTGTCATGTTTAGAAATAGAAAGAGATGCACGCAATCGTGAAAATCACGCAGAAAAACAATGACTCAAGTTGTCTATTTACATTTCAGCTTCTGTCACCTTAAAAGTGTCAAAGTCAGAAACAGATTGAAAAAAATCTATCTGTGCATGTTACTGTAAAGAAGGTGGATCAGAACCCTAAGCTCTTCATCTCCCCTTAGAGATTAATAAAGTTTATCTATGTACTTTGGGGCTTAAAAGCCAAAACTTATTTTCTCTGAAACAGGCCCAAAATGCAAACAACCACAGACAGACTCATATTCAGAGGTTTAGTACAATACAGAATGTCGGGTACTTACACTGCGGACAATAAAATGATTTTTTTTTTGAAGATCTTTCATATTCAGACTTGCAGTATATTACAGTTTGGTCAGGGTCAGTCTGCAAAAAAAACTCGCCTGTTTTCCAGTGTTGGGCGTTTCAGGCCCAACACAAATTCAGACCAAGATTTTGTTTCTACCAACCAGTTGAGTACTCTGTGACTGTAACTCTTTATGCTCAACTGGTTGGTAGAAACAAAATTTTGGTCTGGATTTGTAGCCTCTGGGCCTGAAATGCCCAACATTGCTGCTTTCTGTGTGCCTGGGGTTTTGTATATAATTATCCCTATATTGCTGTCTGTTGGGGTAAAAATGATGATGTCTTCCAAAATAAATACGCATGACCAAAAACAGTTCTACTTATATTTGTAACTCCTGGGTTTAAAATTCCTGGAGAATAAATTGAATGACTGGTA